GAAATGATAATTTACAATATCGAATTCATATTGAACCTCGTCTAACACCACAAAATATTGCTGTAAATGAACTTTCTCAACATAATAGAACAAAATAGAAAATTGGATTTCTATAGGATATTTTGAAAGTGTCTGTAGTCTTAATTATACTTCATCATATATCAATTGGTCAATTGTAAAAACAACAAATGATAAAAATTAATTTCAAGTAAAACAATGGAATTCATTAGAAGTTAATCTTGATAGAAAATATAATTTTATCAAAGCATTTAATCAAGTTCTTTCATTTATTTTTTATCTATTTTTTCTAGAAAAATATTTCATTTATGTTATTCGATTGTCTTTCAAAACTTTCATTAAATTATGCAGATGTTCTTCTTGTTGAACAATCAATTTATTGCTATCCAAATTTAAAATTAGTAACATATATATCACCAATACAACAAATTCGTGCTATTTTAAATATATTACTTCATTGTCATTCCAAATCAAACACGTCCAGTTTATCATATTTCAGGATGAGATGTTGATTTACGTTTTCGATTATTTGTTGATAATGAACAATCAAGTGCAGAATTTTTTCTAACAAATCTTATATTTAATAATATAAGAAATAATGAAATGATATCAATCAATATAGATGATAAATTAATAAATGAATTATCATCGAACAAGCAAAGGATAACGAGAACAAGAACCAATGGCTCAATGTTTATTAAAAGCTTTAGCTTTTATTCAATGTGTTAATGAAAAGAAAGATTTTTCTTTGTCTAAACAATAAAATAATCATATTTTATCATCAATTTACTGTTTCATTTATAATAAAGAATTTTAAAAAACCGTACATTTTTAAAATTTAACAAAATTTCGAAAAATAATTTCTTAGATAGTGAAATGGAAAATATTGTTGTTCATCAAGATATAGTAGAGAAGCAAATAGTTAATATTTTGTTCTATGGTCATGCTGGTTGCGGAAAAAAAATGATTGAGAAACAACTTAGGTGTCAAAGAGAACAACGAACAACTGCTGAACATGATCAAATTTTATTTGAAACTGAAACAAAACAAATTATTAGTCAAGGTCAAGTTAGCTTTACTATTGATGTAGAACGTCGCTGTTATGAAAATTCAACAGCAGCTGATGTTGTTTTTTTTGTAATTAATTGATTATTTTATAACGATTTGTTTATTATGATTTTAT